TTACTATTATTTTTTATTTTTTTAATATATTATATATTTATTTTATTATAATATTAACTGATTCTTACAGTATATCTTAATGTTATAATATAATATTGTGCTATCGAATATATTATTTTGTTATAGCCAAATATAGCAATTGTTATAATAAGTTATTTGAGCTAGAAGCAAATTTTATTATTCAAAATTTCAAATGTCAAACTGTGGATATGTATGGTATAGCAAAATTGTCATAATAAGATTTATAGAAAATAGCATAATTAGAGATTAATTAAAAAGTCAAATGTGTGTAATTAAATATGACATAATTAAAAATAGTCAAATTGAGTATATAAGTAAAAGCATAAATACAAAAATAATAAGTGTTTTGCTTATCAAATATCCTATTTTTGAATTGAAATACTTGTCCTGATTGATCTTTTGATAAGTAACAGAATATGGTGTGTTCAATGTTTAAGTTGGTAGTATTTATGAAAATAGACAATCAATAGATCAAAAAAGTAGCTAAGTAGGAATTACATTTACATTATCTGGCTAAGAGCAATATTGCAACTTGAAGTTACATATAATCAACTAATTTTTACAAGATGGCTTCAAATATGATTGTAAATCAACTGCTAATATCAACATTGAACAAGTTTAGTACAAGTTAGTTAAATATAAGCAAAATTAATATCTATAATTAAGAATAATTAATTTCTAAATAAAGAACAAGTTATAATCCAATCTTTTTTTTTAATTAAAAAAAAAAAGAAATCTGATTTTTTTATAATAATTATTGTATTCTACTTTACTTTAATAGCTGGCATGCTTAATGCAAATAAGAAACTATTAGCCAATATTATATAATACAAACTAAACTGCTTATAATAATTTTGGCACAATCTTAATTATATTATGCATGCATACTTTTCAAAAGCTTTAAATAAATTAAATAATTACCTTTTTTGAATTAGTTATTAATTAAAAGTTAAAAAGAGATAGCTTAACATCAATTATTATTTTTATTCAATTATTTCAATCATTAGCCAATTATATTAATTATATTAAAAGATATATTTAAGAATAACTTGAATTACTTGTATCTAACAAAATAAGCAGGTATAAATATCAATAACAATAAATACATTAAAATTTAAAAACCAGTTTTATAATTGAAGTACTAAAAAATATTTATATATGAAAATCTGTAAAGAATTTTTATAATTATCAAATATAATTATAATTAAAATAAATATAATTAATATTTAAACAATATGTAGTAACAATTAAACAATTATATTCTTCATAATTTTGAATCCTTTATTAAAAAAATGTTCTATTATCATCAATTAACTTCTTATATTGAAGTACTTGATCAAAAGGCAAATGATTTTAACAAATATGCAATATGTTTAGCTTGTCTTAAAATAAAAAATCGTCCTTATGCTCTTGAAAAGCAATTTACTAATACTAAAAAATGTTGTAAAGATCATTTTAAAAAATGTAAATTTTTTCAATAAAAATATAAAATAAACAGAGCACTAGCTATTATAGATGATACAGACAATGAAGCAATTATGCAAAAGCATCAAGAAAAAAGATTTTGTATACATAAAGATAATAATAATAGATTATCAAATTATGCATTAAGTTCAGTATTTATTGTATCTAAATCCTCAACAAATAATGAACCATTAGATAATTTTGCTTATCATTAATTTACTAGAAGTAATCTTGATAAATTTAATTATTTGTTATTAAAAGCAACAATTTCGAATGAATGAAGTTTTTATTAGGTTCAAAATTCAGATACTATTGCATTATTTGAATTTATTAATCCTTCATGTAAGCTTCCTAAATGACAAAAATTAGATGATAAAATTTTAAGTTGTGTTTCAAATCAAATAGTTGCAAAATTAAAAACAAGGCCCAAAAAGATTTTTATAGTATTATTCTTACTATGGATGGTTGGACAAATATAATTAATTAATCAATTATAGAAAGTGTTTTACTTACAAGTTCTGGTAAAGTTTTGGTTCAGCAAACAATTAACATTAATGGTGAAAGAGCACATACAGAAGAAGTAAAAAATAAAATTAATGAAATTACAAAAAGTGTAACAAATAAAGGAATAAAAGTACCAGCAATTGTAACTGATAGTCATTCATCATATGCTGCAGCAAGAAAACATCTTCAAGTTAAAAACCTACAAATTACATATTTACTATGTCTCTTAATATTTCTTTTCATAAAATCAAATCTTATTCTAATAATTCTTTCCACAATCAAGCCAATCTTCTAGCCAAACAAGGTACTAATAAATACCAAATTATATCTAACTTTAAAACAATACTCCCTTCTCACTTCAAATAGCATGATTATATAATTCCACTAAAACTCGCTCCTTTCTCCAAAATACTATAACTATTCAATCACTTCTTACCTGGTCACAACTTAAATACTTTTAAAACCCACTTTCCATTAAATGGTCAACCAATCTTAATATTATTAATTCACTTAATAATGATCAAAAATTCTATTCATTTCAACTAAAAATTATTAATAACAATTTACCAACTATGCAAAATTTTAATATTTGCTATCCTTTATTATACACAACTCCAAATTGTGTTTATTGTCAATTAATCGAAGATATACCTCATCTATTAACTTGTTCTAAACA